ATTCCAATTAACTAATGTTTCTCAAATATTCTTTGAAAGTAGCCATACCGAACATACCCTAATTGTTTTGAGTTTTAATGAATATGCATATCTTTAAAGTAATTTCTCTTTTCAGTTTTTAAAAATCAATTGTGACTTTGTATAAACTCTCTGAAGAGTTTTTTTGGTGGTATTAATAATGCATACACACACACACACACCCCCCATGCTATGATACCATAACATCATAATTAAGAAGATAATGGTAGAACTTCAGAGAGTCCAAAATTTTAAATTGTACCCCAAGATTTTACAGACCTGAAGGCAATATTCTTTGTAATGGAATTATGTAATTATATCAGTCAACATACTCTGGAAGTGTTTGATGTAGGTTTTGTCATGCTGCATCAAGCATCTGACCTACAGTGTCATTGATACTGATAATTATGACATTACAGACAAACATGAAAAAGGAAAATGTTAAACATAGAACCATATAGAAGAATATTTACATGGAAAATTGTAGTGGTAGGGTCAAGAAAGAGATTGAGTTCTTTGAAAGGAAAAAAAATATTTTAAACAATAAAGGAGGAGTATTTCCTCTACCCAAGAAGAAATCCCCATTCTATGTTGGAATAAACAAATAAAGCCTATAGGCCAGAGAAACCGAAAGGAAAATTATAGTTTTAGCAAATATTTTTTGAGAAAGACAGTATAACTTATAGTCATTGATTGCCTTGGCGAATACCATAATGGAGATCAAAAATTGAAATCTAATGATAGAAGAACGAACTTAACACTGAGTTAATGAATCAGTTTGTAAAGTAGTAATGAAAGGATATGTGGCAGTTTAATAAACTGTCTTTCTTAACATTGTAATCTAGAACATTGTATTTAGCATACATTCTCTATCTGTGTCTTCTTTATTGCCTAACACATGAGAGATACTTGTTGAAATAATTATTAATGGTACTTTTGAGATACCACAAGAATTCATAGTAATTATAATATTTGTACTAGGCATTTTAGGAACATCTGTTTCACTTTTTCTAACAGCCCTACAACAAATTGTTCCATCTTATAGATGAGGAAGCTGAGGTTCAGGAAGGTTGAGTGACTTAAGATACAAGTCTATGACAAAGTTATTATTGAAACCTGATTTGGTCTCAGGCTGTTGTTCAAAGTCTTTCTCTTTGTGACTGTAGTTCCCAGAATTATTAATTCGAGATTCAGTAATGTCAAGGTTAAGAGGGACATGGGAGCTTAGCAAAGAAGAGTCAGTAGATCCTTACCACTGAAAGATTCCACAGAATATCTTTCATCTTCATGAGGGGCTTTAAAAGGCTGTGTCATGTACTAATTTGTAATTTTGCTGAGCCAGGAGTTGAATCATAAGCGTGGAGAGGCTACTTTATGGGAGTGAGTCACTCACAATGAGAACCCAGCCAGCAGCAGTTCAGCATGACGTTGCTGTTCTTTGTCATTTATGCAGTAATGCTCAGAAAAAGATACAGCAACAACTGTCACTGTGTATAATGTGCCTCAAAGAAGGTCCCTGTTCAGGTTCTAATGAAGTCAGAAAACTGAAAACAGTCTGATAAATACAGTTCATGTCCAAGTTTTCTGCAGGAGATTGTATGCTAAGCGGTATTTGCAAATTTGAGGACTCAGAGATCCAATACCTAGTAAGGGTCTCCAGACTGTCATTTCACATTTGAGCAAATTAAGGCTTGAGGGACTTTCCCAAGGTCACAGTACCCCAGTAGGTATTTATACCATGGTTTATATTTTTTGTACAATTTTTCCTTTTCTTTTGCATTTTAAATAACTAGTAGCGTTAGTTGTCTGGCTTTTCCTTCAAGGATTTTAAAGGCATTTTGTAATTTAACCCTCTAAAACAAGTGCTGTAATAATCCATTTAATGAATTATTAGAGAGAAGTAATTAGGAAGCAGAGGTTGAGGATGTTAAATAGCTTGTACAAGGTCACGGTCAGTGACCATACTACTGGTTGGAAGTGGAATTGCACAATACAAGCAGTCTTGTCTCAGCATCCATCATTTTACTCTGTACTTCCTTTTAGCAGAAGAAAACAAAACCGAAAAGGCTGAGGGTTTGTTTTTTTTTTCACAGTTCATTTAGGAGTTTGTGATTTTTGTTATTTAGAGTCAAATGCCAAAATGAAAATAAGTGCTTAGAAGAAAAGTAGGAAGATGTGTACCTCAGTTCAGAATTGAGATGAACTCTGATGCTGGCTTAGACTTTCTCTGATTTGGAGGCCCTCTGTTTATGTTGGGCATCCCTTCAGACAGAGCAGGTCTAAGAAGCTGGATATTTGAGCTGCTGCAAATGTGGAAGTAACATTTGGCTTTCTACTTCTGGATAGGTATAACATTCCAGTCTAAAGCCACCTTCAGCTGTTAATGAGATTTTGAAAATCCATCCAAAGTGACTATGAGATCTTTTTCATTTCATCTAAAGGCTTGCCCTGCTGTGGGCAGGGTAGGACCCACAGTGGTAGAACCTCAGTTCCTCCTTCCCTTTGTAGAAGCAAATATGGAAACATCAACACATCTAAGATTAACCTGAATTTTACGGCCACTGAATTTTGAAAATAAGACATTACCACAGTGGCATATCTTGGGGTTTCCATGTGGTCTTTCCCTAGAGTTCTGCCAGAGTTCCTGAGAGTAGCTACTTAGTTCTCACAGTGTTCCCGCTAAGCCTTAGCAGCTTGCTAGGAATTCTGAAAGCTAGCATTCGTCATTAAATATTTCCACCCAGTATATTTCAGCTGTAACTTAAAATGAAGTAGAATTATATTTTGTTTATGTGATTCATTAACTCATACTACATTTTGTTTGTTTTGTATTGTAGAGATGGTATCTCTCTCTGTTACCCAGGCTGGAATGCAGTGGCACAATCATAGCTCTCTGTAACCTTGAGCTCTTGACTTCAAGTGATCCTTCTGCCTCAGCCTCCTAAGTAGCTAGGACTTCAGGCACATACCACCATGCTCAGCTAATTTTTGTATTTTTTATAGAGATGGGGTCTTGCCATGTTGCCTAGGCTGGTCTTGAACTCCTGGCCTCAAGTGATTCTCCTGCTTCAGTCTCCCAAAATGCTAGGATTACAGGCATGAGCCCACACAACTAGGTTTCCCTTGTTTTTCTATGTACAATGTTCAAAGTAAACAGGATAGTCCATTATAATTGACTTGTTACTTGTAATATTTGAGGTGAATTTCCTTTTCATCATTGTCTTTTTCATTAATAATTGTTTAATTTAGCAAGGATCAAATTTATCTTCCTACTCTAACATTACCTAAAACATTGTTTCCACATACAGAACTTTTTTTTTAATAGATGAAAAATTGAGAGGATTATGTTTCTGTTGGGGATGTTTATATGCACAATTTAAAAATCTGTATATATTTTGTAAAATGCTGTCATACTTTTAAATAACTTAGAGAATCTCAGATGAAAGCTCTTACATAAATGCAAATTATGGTTGATTATATTTGAATGTCATTTTCCAAAACAGCAAGGATGGAATTAAACAACAAAGTTTAGGAGGCAGTTAAAGTGACTTAGAAATTCTAACTTGGATAAAGCAACATGGCGATTGCTCTGTTTTTGAGGGCAATAGTGCTCTTGGTTTTGATGGAGGTTTACTTGTGAGTAATGGTTTTCTAGCAGACACAAATATTATAGCTTATACTATAGAGGTTCATTTGAATTCAGACTCAACATGAAACTTTCTCACAAGACAGTTTTTTTTGCAATCAAAAGAAAGTGGTCCCTTTTAACTGTGAACAGTGGTCACAGTTTTTAAAAAGTGCCATGTTTTTTTTTTTGTCTATGCTGCTTTTCCTTGGAGGGGTTATTCATCTTCGTCTTCACCTGCCAGCTACATCCTACCTTCTCACTGACACCTCATTTGACCTCTTAAGTCCGTACACAGTTGCACTTGCGCCATCCCCATGTACACTGCTCATGTGCATACGTAACTGCATTCTGTCCTGTATTCTCAGGTATTGTGTGATACAGTAAGGTCTTGTTTTGCTGAATGGTACTGGGTGCTCCCAGAGGGAGAGTGTCTTAACATTTCAGTGCTCTGTGTATTGTAGATATATTCATTATATATTTACAATCATACAGTTTATGGCTAGATGAGCTCTTCAGTGATTTGGTTCAATTGCCTTATCTTATGAACACGGAAAATTAAGTTATAAAGAGGAAAAGTAATTTCTCGTAAAGGTTATGACCAGTGTTATGGTAAAGCCAGAATTAAAAGTTAAATATCCTAGTTTCTAATGTAGTTCAGTTTCCTTCTTTCCCTCCCTCCCTCCCTCTTTCCTTCCCTCCCTCCCTCCCACTTCCCTTCCTCCCTCCCACTTTCCTTCCCTCCCTCCCTCCCTTCCTCCCTCCCTCCCTCTTTCCTTCCCTCCCTCCCTCCCTGAATATTTATTGAGTATCTGTCACTTGACAGGCATTTTGCTAGGCCCTGATAATGCAGTGTTGAGCCTATCTTGGAACTTAAACCATGATTAAGGAGAAGACAACAAATATAATATGTATATGCAAATTTCTTCTGTTTGTTTTTCTGAGACAGAGTCTCGCTCTGCCACCCAGGCTGGAGTGCAGTGGCCTGATCTCAACTCACTGCAACCTCTGCCTCCTGGACTCAAGAGATTCTCCTGCCTCAGCCTCCTGAGAAACTGGGATTACAGGTGTGCACCACCATGCCCAGCTAATTCTTGTATTTTTAGTGGAAACGGGGTTTCACCAGGTTGGCCAGGCTGGTCTGGAACTCCTGACCTCAAGTGATCCACTCGCCTTGGCCTCCCAAAGTTCTGGGATTACAGGCATGAGCCACCCCACCCGGCCTTCACTGACTTGTGAACTAAATGTTGTTAAGGATTATCTAGTTCTATGAGAATAGATAGTGGATGAAAGATTTCCTTGAGAAATTGCCTTTTACTTGTCTTGGCATCATATTTGTATGTGCTTTTTTTTTTAGACGGAGTGCATTGGTGCCATGTCTGCTCACTGCAGCCTCCACCTCCCAGATTCAAGTGATTTTCATGCCTCAGCCTCCCAGGTAGCTAGGATTACAGGCGTGCACCACCACACCTGGCTAATTTTTGTATTTTTAGTAGAGATTTCGCTGTGTTGGCCAAGCTGGTCTTGGACTCCTGCCCTCAAGTAATTCACTTACCTTGGCCTCCCAAAGTGCTGGGACTATAGGCATGAGCCACTGCACCTGGCCATGTATGTACTTTTAAAATGCAATTAAATTGGACAAGTATTTGTTGTATGCTCACTCTGTGCTGTGCCCCCAAAGAATTAGAGCTTGTCAGCCACAGCCCTTTTCATGTGTTTAGTTAGACGAGGGATAAGTTTAGACATAACTATTAACATGAAACAAAGTGTAGAAGATTCATTGTTCAAAGGACACAAAGATGATATTACAGGGGGTGGGGGAAGGAGGGTGCTGAAATCCAGAAGAACTTCCTCTAAGCGATAGCATATGATAAAACCCCTGAACAAAAGCTCCTTAAAAATGAAGAGGAAAGGCATTCTAGATGTAAGAAAAAGCAAGCAGAGATAGATCAAGATAGGAAGTTACAGAAATTTTCAAGCAACAGTAAGTAGTTTCATTTTACAGAAGCAGGCGCTTTGTGGAAAGTTACACCATTGAAAACATTGTCTTCATTTGAATGCCTTAGAGTCCACCAGAATTAAGGATGGATAAATATTCTCTCTTGTTCCCATACTCAGAACACAGAATTTTGTCCTTTGTTTGCTTTTTGGTTGAGAGACACACACACACAGACACACACACACAGCAAGAATTAATTCCCTCATTGTTGTATTGCCTGGCATCTCACAGAGATCTAATAAACATTTGATCATAATAGCGAAAAGTGTCTGGTATTCTGAAACTTTTCTCTAGCAGAAGACAACTGCTCTAGAAACAGAATTCTTCCAAATAACATGGCTTGGCCTAGGGTAGTGAACATCAAGTTCATTTTAGAAATACTGTCTATGTTTGCCTACGTCATCATTTAGCTTTGACCCAGTTCAGAGAGGGATCTCAACCATTTCTTTTTATGCATAGAATAGTTTGTCTAAATATTATTATGGAAAATTATTCATTCATTAGCATGTGTTAACTGGTGCCCACCTACCACTTTCCAGGGGCTCTTTAGGAACATAGTGCTTGGCCAAGCTTTTTAGAGGAACAAAAGAAGAAGAATCTTTTAGAATAAATGTTGTAAATGAGTGGCCCTGCAGTTCATTTCAGGCAAAAGATATATTTTGTCTTTTATAGGGTTGCCAAGATTCAAAACTTGAGATATTTTAAAGAAAAATCTAGATTTTTTTGCTTTCCTTGAAAAAAAATTGGAGGATCTGGTCAAATGAGCCTACATTTCCAATGGCAAAACTTCTTTGGAGCTAAGTAGCAGCTGCCCTCTTTAATTAGGGCATGTATTTCTCTGTGTGCTGCACACAAGAAGCAGCAGAGTCAGATTCAAAACCTTGACTTTAGACTCAATCCAGCAGGAGACCACCCTGCATATATCCCCATACCTCCCCTACTTACCTCCCCAAGATTCACAGGATCCTCAGGAGAACCCTGGAGTATAGATGCAACCATGGGAATCTAATTTAGGATTAGATCAAGGGTGATCATTGTCGTATCTCAGGATAGAAAGAGAGAACTTGTTCATATACAATGAGTAAAGGCCAAAAGGGAAGGGTGGAAACTTGACATTAGACATACCCGCAGAGGTTGAGCAGAGTGGAGGAAGCCCCATGTGCTTGGAGCAGATGGGGCCAGTACTGACCCTGGGGATCTGGGAGGTTCAGCATGGCGTAATGGATGCTCCTGAGAGACAGAGCACAGCAATGGGGATTCATTGAGGAGCCAGTTATGTTCTGTTTTCAAAGGGCAAGTCTCAAAGGGAATGATGATTGAGGTGGGCCCCACCTGGCATGGGGTTAAGGAATAGGACTACAAGCTGCTACAGTCGTGGGTGGAGTAGCACTGCAGATTGCCTACACAGGGACTCAGAACAGAAAGCAGCTACAGGGACTTATATTTTCCAAAATCAGAATACCAGCTAGAGCTGGGGCTTCTCAGTTACTAGATCTGATTGTCACAGTCAGAACACAGCAAATAAGAAAGGTGATATTTTCAGTCTTACTGTATTGAGCTTCCTAAAACCTTAAGTCAAGATTAGTCTAGGGCCCTTCCCACACAAAAGAAGAGAAGGAAGGTAGAGATTGGGAACCAGACAGGGCCTAACATGGATTACATTTATTAAAATTCTATATGCTTAATACTCTGTGAAATGAATAGTTTGGCCATGATGTCATCACGATAGCCATTCACTAACCTTGTTTCAAAGTTTATATTTCTGTACAAAATCAGGACTGTTTCAATAATTGTCAGCCATCTGCTTCCAGTGTCCAACATTAGTTATTTGTGCTTGGTTGCATGTTTATATATGTATGCTTTGTGTATATATAGTGCATTCAATAAATCCTAGTTTGATTGGGATTGTTAGGCAGTGGTGTATTCTGGCTAATTTGAGGGTTGACTATAAAATATTTTCGTTGCAAACTTACTGAAAAACAATCTTAATTTCTTTATCTTTTTCCTGCTAAATGAATATAACCAAGTTCTTTTACATTGTTAGAAAATTAAATAGGGGGTACTCAATCTGATAATGTAGATAAGGCAGATAAAAAATATTTTGGAAGTTTGGGTGCATGAGAGTGGAGGGGAAATTATCATTGTTGTCCAGATTAAATTATTAATATTAATTGTTCTTCTAGTGGTTTTACAGCCTGTCCTAAAAGCGAACTAGAGAAGCTAATCTGATTGAGTTTCTGCTTAGACATACAACACCCATAAGCTGGCTATATTATATGTTTTATTATACTAAACTATAAACAGAGGGGATAATTACTTCTGCCTCCTTTTCTTTTAATAATATTATTTTAGGATTATGATAATACCTAAAAATAGTGGTATATGTAAGCATAACATTCTCATTGTTATGATGGGAGAGCTGAGTACAACACTTCCTCTAGTTTCCTGTAATCAATTCTAAATAGCCTCAAGGTTTACTCTAGAGCAAAAGATTTGGGACTGAGTTCTCTCTAAGAAAAACAAAAAATATGAAACATGACTTTATTGTAAACCAGTTTAAGGACCAGTATATGAAGGAAGATGTTACCTGGATTGTGTGCAATGTAATATGCAAACCAAAGATAATTTGGAAAGTAATAGAGTATTAAAACTGCCTTTTTTTTTTTTAAATTTAAACAGGCTCATGCCCAATTAGTTCGAGAAGTTGATGTGGAGAAGGTATCTGCTTTTGAGAATCCATATGTAGATGCAATAAAGAGTTTATGGAATGATCCTGGAATCCAGGAATGCTATGACAGACGACGAGAATATCAGTTATCTGACTCTACCAAATAGTGAGTATCCTTCCAGGAGGCCCTGTGGATTTTTTTTCTTTACTTCCATTTGGAGGTTTTGCGAATATCATAACTTCTTCATTCTGTCCTGTATATGTCATATATGATTCAAACTTCAAAAGTTAGGGAGTACAGATAATGAACTTAGGCCAATTCATAAATCTAGATTAGATTATAAGGAACTGGTATCATGAGTCAGGGAGAATATTTCTTTTACTGTTGTCTGTTTGAAAAACAAACTGAAGATTCTAGGAATCTGATTTCACAAACCTGTCTCCTCCCCCAAAATTGCAAACTAATAATTCTCACAAATGCCATTGTTACTTGGGATCTTGTAATAATAATTTTTGATATAAAATCCGATCTTATTTATGTGCTAGAAAACACCTACACATGTTAGAAACTGCAAACAAAAATATGTTTGATTATGGCTTCTTAAAACATCAGACTTCCTGGTTTCCAGTTTTTAGACCCATCAACCTTAACTGCTTTCTGAGAGCCACTATTATTTTGATGGATAGGTCTTCCTTTTCATGAAAATTGCGTGTGAGTCTAATTTTGCATACATTCCAGAATTATTTTATGAGCTGTCAGTCAAACTCAAGTGTCCTGGGAAAGATTTGCAGCCTAGAAATCTGTTACTTCTCTAGAATAAATCTCATTTAACAGAAAGAAAGATTTGGCAGTCATCAGATTAATGTGATCAATATAGTCAGCAATCTAGATAACCAGGTGCATACGTAGTGAGTTTTCTTTTTGTAATTTTTAGCTAGGTTTCTGTCTCCATTAGTCATATTAATACAGCATCTGCCTCTTGTTTTGGTTCTGGGCAGACAGAAGAATGGGTAGAAAATAATCAGCAGCCTTATGCCAGTTCATATGATAAAATGATCTACTGGATGAGAGCTGGCCCTTGGAAAAAATAAGAGGCCATGATGGGCTGATTGACATCACTCAGAAGTGCATGGAAGATCCAAGAGCTATGTGACTCTGTTTTTTCAGTAAAATTATCATGCTTTTTACTCTAATTCCAGGCATTTGTAAAAGATATGATTCATATCAGCCACATAAATGTTGCATGATAAAACTATTTCTTGTATTCTTATGGTAAATTTGAATTATGCCATTCTGAAATGTGACACAGTGCTCATGAGCACCATCTCTGTCATATTTAATATTTTAACTAGCATTAACTCCCTTGTGTGCCTCTGAAACATGTGCTTTCTTCATTCCTCCTTTTTTCATCCTTCTTATACCCCTTCATATAGTACTTGTCATTTCTGTCTGCCTTCTGTTCTGCCATTCTCCCTCCCTCTGTCCTTCTTCCTTTTGTTCCTTCCTCCTCGTCTCCTACTATGTAAGTTTCTGTGTGTACAGTTTAAAAAGATGCATTCATCTCTTGCCTGTTCTAAATCCTGCCCCCTCAACCTTTGACCAGCTGTCTTTTTTTACTCCTGCTCCCTCCGTCCTTCTGTTTCTTTTGCCATTTCAAATTCCATCTATCTCCCCATGTTGCTGCTGTGTCTCATCCATCATTCCCTGTTCCCATTCATTGTGTCTCTCCTGTCTGCTTATTTATCCTCCACCCTAAGCTTTGAATCTCTCTGGCTCTCTCTTAACTCCTCTCTGCTTCTCATTTTGCTACTGTGATGTCTTGCCCTCGCCTTTAAAACTAATGCATCCTCCCTTATAAAGTTACATTTACTGATAAATTCTTCACCTTGCATCATTTTTCTTTTAACCTCTATCTTTTCACTTTTAGTTTGTCTTTCTTATCTCTTCCCCTCCCTACCTATTCTATTCCTTACCTGTCATCTGTAACTGTTCTCCCTACAGAGAGTCCTGCTACTGGGCAGTCAGGCAGTCAGAGCCCCCCAGTATCTAGTAATTATGTGCTTACTAGGGTTATGTCACCGCCTTAGGATTTGCCTCCTCCTCCTGGGATAGACCCTCCGAGAGAGTCCTCTTTGCACTAATGGCACCTGTATTGGACTATGGATGTGTTCTTGAGACAAGACTTCATCACACCTCTGATGATATATCCTCAGTTTAGATTTGTGGATTTCTAGACACGAACCCATTAGTTAGTATGACAGTTGGATGCTGCCATCCAATTCTTGACTGGGGCAAGAGCTCTCCTAGAGAGTTTCTCCAGACCTGTCAGTGCTGTGATCCTGGGAAAAGCTGCTATGTTAGAATTCTGTCAGTGCAGGCTTAGTCTACCGTAGAAACAGAGCACATTCCTTATGATAGAGCAAGACCAAAATGTGGGGCCATCTGGCACAGGCTGATCTAAACTCCTTCAAATGATTATTCTTTAAATAGTTCTACATTCCCCTAGTGGGAATGTGGAGAAATTGATTTTCTAAATAATATATATCTGGGCCAGGCATGGTGGCTTATACCTGTAATCCCAGCACTTTGGGAGGCCAATGTGGGTAGGTCACCTGAGGTCAGGAGTTTGAGACCAGCCTGACTAATATGGTGAAACCCCATCTCTACTAAAAATACAAAAAAAGTAGCGAGGCGTGGTGGTGTGGGCCTGTAGTCCCAGGTACTCGGGAGGCTGAGACGGGAGAATTGCTTGAACCCAGGAGGCGGAGGTTGCAGTGAGCTGAGATTGAGATCGATCACACCACTGCACTCTAGCCTGGGTGACAGAGCAAGATTCCATCTCCAAAAAAGAAATAAAAAATAAAAATATATATATGTGGATATACATAACCTAAATCTTTTTTAACCATACTTTATGCTGAAGTAATAAAGTGAATTCTAACAACATGTACTTATATCCTTATACATATCAGTATACATCTCTTTTAAAAAAAGTAGGACATTTTCTTACCTAATAATTAATACAGTATTATACCTAAAATTAATTAAGTTTATTTTATCATTCTATACCCAGTTCATATTCAGGTTTCCCACATTCTTCCAGAATGTCCTGTAGAAGTAGTTGATTTCAGGACTTCACATTACATCTGGTTGTTATATCCCCTAAAGTTCTTTTAATCTAGTAGAGACCCATTTTGGATTTTACTGGCATCTTCAAGAGATTGGCCTAGATTTGCCTGATTGCTTCTCATGGTCTGATTTAGTTTGCTCCTGTATCTCATGGATTTTCTATAAACTAAAAGTTATATTTAAAGTCTTTGTTAGATTCAAGTTAAAAATTGTGACTAGACTGTATTATAAGTGATGTTGTACACTTGTTTACCCATGATGGATGAAGTTAAGATTTACTGCACTGTTAAGGTAGTGGCACCCTCCATTATAAAGGTATATTTTTCTTGTCTCTTGTCATGTTAGTTTGTCACTGAGCAATCTCTAGTTCTTCATCAGCTCTTCATCTGATGCTTTTATTTCCAACTGATAATAATTGCCAGAATTAAGAATTCCATTAGAATTTGTAAAATAATTATTTTTGTTTTATCAGTTAGTTTATATTGACAGTCTTCTGCATAGAAGATTTTTATCTCTTCAGCTGGTGCTATTTGATTAATCATTCGAACGAGGACATGTTGAGAAAGAGGAGGTTGTCTTGATAATTACAATGAAACAGAAGGCTTAAACTGAACTCTCCAGGACAGGCAGGGATGTTTGGTCACCTTCGCTAAGTGAAACCAAGGCGAGAAGGTCTGTTTCCTTCATTTTCTGTAGAGTACTCTGTTTACTTAAAGGGGAGTAGAATCAATTTATTCCTGCCAGTTATGTAAGAGGTTGTTTATATAAACCAGAGTTAAATGGACCCACATTTCAGGTCTCCTCCAGGGATGTTTTGGTATTCTCTACCCATCAGTGCCCAAGCAGCCTGCCTGGCTTGCCTTATTCCCACTGTGCCAGGAGGCCTGAGTGTTAGTTACTTTATTCTTTCCCATCTTAGTAGTGGGCATTTTACATTTTCCTTAACCAGGTAAACCTCTCAACAGAAATAAAACCTGTGGTGTTGTAGAGTCACTCATTTGCCTCTGTGTTCCACATGTTTCTCCAGTGTAGTCTCAACAGATGCTCCAGGAATTGGCAAAGATGAAGGTCCCATATATTGGGCATCATTAATTCCCAGTACTAAATCATGTTCACAGATAACTTAGAATAATTCCTTTCTCTGTGTTGTGATAATTGTTATCCCTTTTCCTTTCTGACTTTTTTGTGTACATTCCCCTAGTACATCTTCAGTATGTCATCTGACCTCCTTTTCTTCATATAGGGTTTCTATGTTGTTGTTCCTATCTTTATAATCAAAACATACTTCATTGTTATTCTGGACCTACTTTCTTATTCATTAGCACCACCTTACAGAAATATTTCTGAACTTAGGACCAAGTTCTTTTGGTGCTGCCTGTGTCTAGTGGCAGGACTTTACTATAGATTTAGGGGATACATAACATCTAAATCTCTGGTAGTAGGAGAATCTCCCTGCCACACACACTTGCATAGTTGCATTTCTTTTCACAACTCTGCTGGTTGTGAGATTCAGTGCAAACGACTTACAAAGAATACTGTGAGCAGAGGCCAAGCGTGCCTGTCATCTTTTCTCTTTGATGAACTCCTGTTCATCCATTAAGACCCAAATCAAGAGTCACCCTTTCTGAAAGCCTTGCCCAGCACCAGTGACAGTAAATCACTATGTCATCTATCTTAACACTGTGTATATCCCTTTTATTTCCGTCATGACATTTACTAAAGTGCCTCTCTCCTCTACCCTCAGTGCCTGACAGCAGTGCTCATGTTTGACTTTCACAAGTGATTGTTTCGTGAAATAATAGATGGATAATTTCTACTATTTCAGTGACCATGGTATAGGAGCCATCTCTCTCTCTGGCTGTTATAGATGAACTATGAAGCTTCAGAACTGAAGGCATTCTAGTCTTTTTTCCTGCTGTTGTTGAAGGTCTGGGATCTCAAAAGCCTTATTATCAAAGACAATAATAGCTGCCATTTACTGAACGTTTACTGTATGTTAGATTCTGTGCTTAGTCATTTACACGTGTTATCTCATT